ATTTGAGAATACTATTTCACATTTTTGACATTGTTTTCCACGTGGACACAATCCATTCGTCTCGTTATCTCGTTAAGAAAAGAGCCCTCGCCATTCATAGCGCAAACATCGCTCGGACAAACAATTTTTTAAAACGCAACTTCTCTGTTCTCATCTCTAAAATCCTCGATCTCCAATTCAACCTGATAATCAATTTATTCGTCATTCGAAACCCCGCCAAGGTACCCAAGAAAATCGGTCCATACGCGGTAGAATCGAGAAGAAACTGGATCCCTCGGAATCGAGTGGTTTTTCGGGGCCGCCGCTAGCTAACCCAGACCTGGCACTCGAAACCGAAGCGCGCGGGGTTTCAAGACCGAACATCCTCATAGGAGTTATTTTAATAATGAGGGTGTACCGGCGCTTTGTATAGCCCTCCTCTCTTTTCTTTTCCTCCTCGCCGCGCGCTCGCGCCCGACACGTCGGTGTCGCATCATCGTGCGCGTACCGCGTGGATTATTTCTCGTTGTTGCGTGCAAACGATATCGATTAATTGATTGTTGTTATATAAAAAAAAAGCAGAAGACGCGCGCAGACTCCTCATTGCGTTCACGGCTCGATTCTGTTTCCACCTTTTCTTCTTCCTCCACCTCCTACTCCATCTTCTTTTCTTCTTCCTCCACCTTCTCTTCTTCTTCCTCTTCCACAAGAGAGAACGCTCGTATTTATTCTGTTCCCCCGTGGATCGTTGACACCGTGAGCCTGTCGTCGAATGCGTTTCACCGTTGTGCCAAAGGTAGAGCAAAGCCTAGTTAACCGCCGCCGGGAGAGACAGTGTAACTGACCGACATCGGCAGTGGCCCGCATGTGCAGCATCAAAAATGCAGCCCCCGGCGTGCACGCCGTCTATAGACGCGGCCAGCGATTCCCCTCTTCTGTGTCTTTTCTCCCTCCTTTTCGTCGATCGAACTCACCATCGCACAGAGCGTTCCGTCGACGACGACGACGCTTCGATTGGATTCAACGGGAAAATACACTGACAGAGAGACTCTCGATTCCGTGTGTTTTTTTCTTCATCCTTGATTGTTCGAGGTGGGATTTATTTTTTCCCTCGACCGCTTTGGAATTGATGCGTTGTTTACGGTTATTCTTGAGCGTTGTTATGACTGGAGTGTGTGCGTGTCCCGCATTTTTATAGCGTGCATTTAAAATAACGTTCACCAGACACGTTTGTTGGATCCTTTGTAAAGTACGTGGAAATTCGAGTTTCCGTTTTTATTCTATATCGAGTGGGAACAATAAGGGGTTTCGAATCAGTAATTGGGTGTTCGTAGTTTTTGGTTTTTAATATCAATAGTAGGGGACTGGATATCGCGTTCGATTAGATAGGTTCTACGGGACACCTCAGGTTAATTAGACACACGAACCGCGTTCATATATTAGATACGTGCCAAACCCAGCGAACTATCCGAAATACATCAATGTCCGTACACCTGGCTTCATCAATCATACAATCGATAACCATCCATTTCGCGTTCGTTCATTGATTCTACAGGTTAGTTCCGCAAATCGTGTAATAATTAATGAGATCGAGTTTCCAGAATTAATTACCATTCTGGGACCTCAGTAGTAGATGCTCATTACTTTTACCACATATATAGACGTATTACATCAAACATCGTCGTCTTTCCGAGTGAATCTATTCACCTGGAGTTCCATGAAATATCATCCCCTAATGTTCTCGACCTGCCAGAGAACCTGTGGATCAACATGCACGGTGTTAACAGGTTCAGTGCGAAGTCGATATACACTAGCAGTCATAAATATTAGAACTGGTCTATATGAAGAAAATAATAATAATAATTTATTTATGGATCTACACCCTTTGGCAACAAAGTACTTAGAGTAATTGAGATACATAGTCGATCCCGTGTAAAAATGTGGTGTTTCGTAAAAATAATATATATTAGGCCACTCTTATTACTTTATAGTAGCATGAGCGTTATCTATCAAGATTTAATATCCCCTACGTTTGTTTTAGACTTTCAGTAATTTCTTTGGATAAACGTCCTAATACTTATGAGCGGGAGTGTACCTATCGAGCAGAAGGTTCTTTTGAGCGACCAAGACCATACGTACACTATTCTTTATAGGTATAAAAACAGCTGGTCCGTGTAAAGAAAATCTTAAGTTTCGTAAAGATTATACTGCATAATAAGCGTTGTCAGGGGTCAACATCAGGGGTTAATCGTCAAGATCGTGCATCCGACGATCCCCACGAACACTCCATTCCACAAGTCCATATTAACGTCATCGTCAACAACCACATTGTATCACGGTGGTTTAAAATTCCAAATAAAAATCCCCTGAACCACCACCTCCCCCCATATCATCGTACGTCTATACATCTAGTGGTGAGTCTCAGTTAGGAATACGAACTCGGCCGCGACTTCTATCCCCGTAATTCCGTAAAATCCTCGCCGATTTTCCGCGGCTCGCGGCGCGAACAACTCCCTACTATTTATAAATGGTTTGAACCCGGTCGGTCGCATTGGCGAACCTCTCGGGTCCGCTCGAGCTGCCGCCTCGTGGGCAGCCGCCGTCGTCGTCGTCGTCGTGGTCGGCGTGGGGAACAATTCGCCACCCCATTGGTAAAAATAGAAGCTCCTAGCCAGCTAGCCGAAGCTCGAGGCTAGAGCTACGAGTGCGCGAACGAGCTGAAGCACCGCTCTAGCATCGCTAGAGCGGACGGACGTAGGTACGGACGGTGCACGCGTTAGAGCGTGCATGTGTGTGTGTGTGTGTGTGTGTATGTGTGTGAAGCTTAGGGGAATGGTAAACGGAACACGATCAACGGAACCGGCGGTACAGGCATCGACAACACGATCATGACGACGACGACGATCACGGTGAATGTTGGTGTTCGTTGATAGCAGCAGTTTCGTTGCCTCCGGGACTGGTCCTCGTCGCCCGTGATACAAATAAACCAGTGCTCGCTTATGTGTGTGTGTGTATGTGTCGATCCAAATCGCTTCTCTTCGTCTTCTTCTTCATTGATCTTCTTGGACTGTCTCTACTTCGATCCGATCCCTGGATTCGGTTCAGTGAAACCTGGGTGCTGCTCGGGCTAGGAGAAGACTTAGGGGGTCCACCAGTGAATCTGTTTCTACGTACCCGGCCCGAACGGCACCACCGGCAGCCCGTGAAGCTACTCGATCTCTCTTTCTCCCGCTCTCTCTCTCTCTCTCTCTCTTTCTCTCTCGTTGTGAAGTCTAGTGAATATTTTAAGACCGACAAGAGAGAGTCCGCATGTAGGAAGAGACGGGCTGATTCACTTGGTCCTCTCTCTCGTACGTAGGTGGATCTGTCCGGGAACGTACGTCTCTTAAGATAATGCTGTCCTATTCAGAGGGTGTGTAAACTGGTGCTTCTCGAAAGGGAGATCTAGATAATATCCTGGTGGATCCTTATTCGACCAAGCTTTTGCGCCCTTCGTGTTCCAACGGATATTTATCGAAGAAGCACAACGGGGGAGGGAGAGAGACAGAGGGAGAGAGAGAGAGAGAGAGAGAGAGCCACATTCCGAGCGGATCACGGATGCTTATAGAAGCGTTGCGTAACGGCGTCAGACGGACGGCGAAACCGCGGCTGTTCGGCCGTCGAGTTTCGATAAGTTCGACGGGAAAGCTACTGCCGTTGCTACCGTCGTCGCGTCGTCCTCTTCTGGTGTCGAGACGATCAACGAACGCCTGGAGACGGATACTCTCCTGATCCCCGGGGGAAGGATTCTGTGTGCTCCTTTGTGTGTGTGTGTATCTTCGTTCTGTGCCGTCGACACGTATATATATATACACACATATATATATCTGTCTATATATACAGGTGCTCGATCTACACACACGCAATCGAATGTTACCTCGCAGGTACGTTCGCGAGGATCCAAGTGCCGCGATACGACCGTTCCCGAGGATCGAATCGAAACACGGTACACACGTGCGTGCGGGTCAGAGTGTGAGTGAGCTAGAGGTGGGGCGATTGACGGTCGAAGGAGGTGGAGTAGGTGGTGGAGAACGCGATAGAAAGGGAGGGACGGGATCGTGGACAAGACACAAGGTGTTCCCAGGGAAATCTTACGGTTGTATCGATTGCTCCGCGTGGTCCGTTGGCGTTTCAAGGCCGACCGTCGACGCTTCCCAAGATTCGGACAAGACGTACAACGATCGTTCGTGACGAGACTCGGCCCGTCGCCGTGAGCCAGGCAGGACGGTTCACACGCTCCTCCGGTCCGGTCGCCTCGACCGACCGACCGACTCGGAGGGGGACTAAAATTAACCCGTGTCGAATCCTAGAAAGTTTCATCTAGCTTCGGTTCAGCCTGAATTTCGTATTTTTAGCCGGTGACACGAGGCGGGGGGAGCCGCCAGAGAGACAGAGAGAGAGAGAGAGAGAAAAATCCGGCGTCCTTGACACCGGGTCCTCCCCGTGTGGCGGGATCGACACGATAAAAGTGGTTACGACGTCTGCTCGAAATTGGGTGGTCGTGTTTCTAGATACAGAGCCACGGCGACGTACCGGGCCTCGACACGATCCTACGATCGACAGGCTTATCCGCGAACGTGGACCAGCGAGGATATTTCGTGATCGAATATAATCGTGGCAAGCTCGACTTCGTACCGGGTGAAACACAGGTGATCAACACAGAGGGTGTGTTCGGTGGTCTTGCAGAGGTCCGTTGGTGGGACGACGCGTAAGACGAGAAACGTGGAGGCGGACAGGAAGGATGGAGCAACGTCCAGGGGTACGCGCGTGCGATTTTTGCTAACGGGCCAACACGACGACGACGACAATAACGACGAAGACGACGACGACGACGACGACGACGACAACGAGGAGAAGGAGGAAAAAGACGAGGATTACGACGACGACGTGGGCGGTGGGGAGACGAGAAGGAGGCTGTCGCGGCGGCGGTGGTGGTGGTGGAGGAGGAGGAGGAGGAGGTGGCGGTGCAACGGTGCAAAGAAATGCAGCAACAGCCACAGTCTGGCCAACAGTCCGGGGCACCGAACGGGGTGGCAGGTGGTGCCCAATTGCCGCAAACAGGTGGCATAAGCTCCGCTCAACCTGGAGCGACAGGTACCGCCACGGCGGCGTCAAATCGTGCCCAGGTTAACGGCGGCCGATTCGATTTCGACGATGGCGGCACCTACTGCGGCGGTTGGGAGGATGGAAAGGCACACGGCCACGGGGTCTGTACAGGACCCAAAGGCCAAGGCGCTTACTCCGGTAGCTGGCATTATGGGTTCGAGGTATCCGGTGTCTACACCTGGCCTAGGTGAGATAAGACGTTCTGTTTTTTTCTTATTGATCCTGGATTACTGAATTATTAATAATTGTAAGAATTACGACTTCGAATTCCCGATTCTCAGATATCGACACTGTTTAACCCTCATCCGTCCTGAGTTTTTCCAACTTAATTTGTTACTTTGGTGTTAAATTCACCGAGTCGCAAAAATTAATATAACGAAGTGATAAATAGTTAAATTTGCAAATTCTTTCAAGTAAAAATCACGAAGACTCAACTTAATTTACTTACATATGACAGAATAACGTCATTTCTTAAGAGAAAAATGTGTCAGATTGACACAAGGGATGGATGAGGGTTAAAGTTTTCATTACTTTTTAGGTCGATTATCATAAATACTTACATCGTAAGATTCTATCACAACGCAAATAATATTTTTCGAAAATGTTACGTATTTTCTTGTTGTCGTAATTGTTACGAATGATTAGTAATAACGTAAGTCACAGGATAGTTGACTAATCTAGGATTAATTCAGTGGCATGCTTTCCATACTTGCGCTGGATAAAGCAAACTTATAACGATGGTTCTTGGTCTGTTAGTCTTGTTCCAGTTTAACCCATGTGCACTGTTCGAGCCATGTTTGACTCAAACTCAGACTTTAATTTTTCATTATATTCGTTGTTAAAGAAACTTATGAATTAATTAGACACCAGTACTAAAGATATTTTATTGACTGGGGTTTAGCTTATCCAAGTTTAATTCAAGGAATAGTAATGCAACAATTTATTGAACGGTGCACGAGGGGAAATCAAAATATGTGTATAATTGATCTACTTGGAAGATCTTCGGTAGCTTTCCAAGGTCTTATATGGGAGCTTTTTCTAATTATTTTTTAAAATTTAACTTTTCAATATATTATTCAACGATGATTTTTAGGTGAAATGTATTCAAACGTTACAATATGCAGGTCACGAGTTATAAGATTACAGGGGTAACGAGTGATCCTGAAATCATAACGTGGGAATTCTCTAGTCCAGGCGGCTTTTTCGCGATTTACACAAAACCTCTCCGTTTTGTTGCGGATGAAGGTAGATCTCGCCTGAACCAGATTCTGTATACATTGTTAATTCCACGAGTAAATAGCTCTTGTCCCATTAACATCGCGTTAATATTGGATATTTCGATGGATCGTAAATTTAATTAACTTCTACAAACTTTTTTTATCTTGTTCTCTTGTGATCTACGAAGAAATATTCGCTTTGTTCTTAGTTAACTTCGTTAACAGCAATAAGAGCTTTTCTATGGTAATTAATAGTGATCTAGATTGACGTTAACGATGCTCTACATCATTAATACTATACTAATCACGTACGTCTTAGGGATAAGCGTAAGCTTCGTCGAACTATCCATCGTTCTCAAACGTTTATCTAGGGAACTAAACCTGCTCACGACTTGACCCTAAGAGGATATACACAATTAGTCGAGGAATGACAGCGATACTGAGACGAATCTAAATCTTTTGATGGTTTAGCAGAGAACAGAAATGAATGTCATCGGAACAATTACTTCCATCTAGATTCTAGTAATCTCCAAAATGAAATCGACTTGCATTACTCTCGTCGCCAAATTAATCTAAACGGTAGATTAACAACGAACAGAACATCTCCATCGTAAAATGTTCTTTAAAACCTACCAATAAACTGTCCATCTTCATTAGAACTCGTTAAATTTCTTCCATTTCAGTTTCCAGATTGGCTCTCACTTTTCATCCCATAACCATTTTAAAATCGACTACAATTATCATGATTTGTTCTGCAAGTTTACTTTCCAAACACATATACAGTGACTAACAAGTTCGTCCACCGAGGGCTGTCACTTCTATTGACCAAATTGTTTACCAAAATGCAAATTTTATTTCAAAATGAAAAATGTATCACGAGAGGGTGATAAAAGTAACAAGAAGAATATATAAATACAAATTGCATAAAGCTTTCACGCCTAATTGTTATTTCAGAAGTTTGAACGAATACATGTGTCACTTATATCATATGTCCACACGGTCATCTTTACAGTTATGGCAATTCAGTCACACTTGATCTAGTATACCGCATATTTCCATATATTATAAACGCATCCTAGTCTCACGATCTACCAGTTAGTAAAAAATACCCAGAAGATCCTCAAATCAGGCCTTCTATTCCCGTCTAATCCTCAGACATCAGTGTCAGTTCGAATTCTCCGGTAGAAACGTTCATCGAACCGGGGTCGTAAGCTCGAACAGGGGGGGGAAGAGCTTCTTCTTTTTTTTTCTTTCTCGCGGGAGTCGGAGAAAGAGGAGTAGGAGGTCCCGAAATAGCGGCCGATTTCGCTTCTATCGCCGCGGACCACCTCTAACGGCGTCAATTCGAGATGAACGGAGGGACCTTGACACGTATATTCCCGGCTGTATACCTGGCGGGGCCGGGCGGGAATCTCCCGATCCTGAAAGTGGGTCACCGAGTGCAAGGACAACGAGTCCGGGTCACTGGGATCCGAGCGTTTAGGAGCTAGTTCATGGAAACGGCCAGACAATCGCTTCCCCAAATCTACTCAGGATCCAGGACGCCCTGAGGCGGTGGTGGTTCGCGTGAAAAAATAATTTTCCTCTTCCTGCTTGTTCGTACCCAACCCTCGTTGTACAGAGTACGGATAGGAAAGTTTAGAAGATACCAAAACGACGAACGTTCCACGCGAATCTTTATCTTCGAAGACTATATCGCGTGAATCGAGGAAGAATCGAAGCTATCGATCGATTGGTCTGTAAATGTTAGAGGTTCATTTTCATAAAATTGTTTATGTTCGATTAGATTTATATGACGATCGGTATTGTAAGGAATTTTCGTTCGAAAAAAAAAAGTTTGTGAAGGGTTCAGAGAATATGATTTTTTAAGGGTGATAGTGTATTTTGTTTTTTCTGTCCAGAGAAGTTTGGAATAGTGTTCGAAGTATCGATATCCATGGACGAAACGTGGGTACTGTTGTTTAATTTCGAGATGACGGATGGGTCGTTGCGGTTGCGGGAAACGCAATGACTTGTCGATATTTTGGTACGTGATATAATTGGAATTCAAGGGAATAGGATGATTACGCGTTAACGAACCCAGGATTTGTTGCACAATTCCGATGGATTATGGATATCGGCGGTCGGCGTTGGTGGGCAATCAGTGTAATTTGGAAATTAAGTAGTATTCACGAGTATGATAGACGAGTGATTTTTCGATTATAAATGGTCGTAGAAACGTATAAACGTTGAAATATGGGAGCTGATAGGATCTAGATCTGCTATAAACGCGAGCATAATATACTTAACACTCATACGATTATTACAGGGCAAGGAAATTCCAGAATATTTAATTATACGAACAAGAAAAAAAAAACAATTCTTGATTTAAGTCATTTTCTCGTATGAATACGTTAATACACGAAAAAGAATTTATCAAAACATTTTTTCACAATGATACTGGAACAATATAAAAAACTTTTTATTATCGGTGAGAAAATTTTTAGTCTTCTGTGTTCACTTTAAACAAGGTATATCAATCAAGGAAATATTTTTAATTCCGTTAGCTGTTTGGTAACCCTTTTTTCGTATTTCTGAGTGCACCTGCACTTGAACGGGAAAATCCACATGGTGTTCTTCCTACGAAACCAGGCGGCTTCGCGGGCGACTATATTTGAGTCGTCGATCGTTCCGGAAGAAAATTCTGTCACGCGACTTTAAATAGTCCCCGTGCAACCAGAGCTCGTAAATATAATTGTTATTAACATCCGCTGACACACGCGTTCCTGCGAATACGGGAACTGACCTACATTTTTCCATATTTTTAGTCGTGTTTCATCAATGGAACCCAACCCACTCCGACGATCCCATGAATAAAGAATGAATTACTTGGAATTCTCCTAGGCGTAATAAATTCTACGATATATCCCTAATTACGGTCTGGAGAATGTTGAAGGGCGTTCACGAAAGAATTTCTTCGAATCATCGAGACTCGAATACTCGGATAATAGGTCACGTGGATGACTCAAATTCTTCGAGAATGCTCCAGAATTACCGAATGTCGCAGAGATTGGAATGCCTAACCAATTCGAAATACTCGAGGATCCTCCACGTTTAACGATCGATGGACCTGATTTCTATATTACAGATTTTTGAAGAAAGTTTATTACAAGTCATTGATGAAGCAACAAGAATCTGTTTATTAAAAAAGTTTTGTCTGAAGTGTCTGTCGATCTTATATTTCTTCTCGAGCATCGCTACGTCTTTCATTTTGTCGAACGTTCCGTCAAATCGCGGAAACTTAGAAGTAGGTCAATTTTGTCTGGAAACACGTTGACTCTGGTAATCGCAAACTGCTTTCTGGGACAGCCGTTACACGACAAACATTGCCCACCGCAATTTCAAGTTCGCCAATTCTTCTTGCGGGACTTAATTCCCCAAAAATACTCAATTTAGTAAAAAAGAAAATAATGTAGAATGGAATTTTTTAGAACAAGTACAGGTGTGTCACGATGACCTATTCCGATTCTTTCGCTGTTAAATTTCCAGTTTGGCGTGAAGGCACGAGAGTCTCTCGTGCGTTCTGTGCGTATCGATTCGGCAACGACATCAAACAGCCATGTAACAATTACGCGAACACTCGGTGGATTCCGTGATAAAACAAAAAATTGTAGCCGACTGGGATCGAGGCGTGGATCGTATCGTGGTCGAAAGTCACGCAGCCCGAACGAGCCTCTAATTGAGACGTAATAATACGTTCTCCCCAGGCCAGTCGATTTCGCGTAAACTGCCTCGACGGTTTTAGGGATGGAGGGTTGGAAATTTGATAACAGGTTAGAAACCGAATTTTCTAAATCCGTTCTTTTATGGAAAAGAGAACCTTGGTCGTGAGAGTTTTCTTGAAATTAGACGATTTTAAAACGAGTTTGTAATTGGTTGAAAACACTCTGTTTCATATTTATAATTCACTTACAAATCAGCATTAATATCTAATCGGAGCGAAGGTATTTAATATTTTCACAAATTTGATCCAACGTGATAAGTACATCTAAAGGGAAAGATATTGAAAGCAATAATTTTTCTAACAAATTTGACAAGTTCACGTAGGTTGTTTTATATTTCTGACACAACTAGAAATTTTTAATTATTTCCAGTCAACAAGAAAATATCCTGATAAACATTTATAAGCGTAGTACATCGCAGGCATTATATGCTATAATATTTCTATAAATTATTACTAGTGTCATCGAAGAATCTCGAAGCATGGATCACAATTAGCCCGACATTCATCAAGGGAAGATGCATCGTTAATCCTTATCAGTCTACTAGCACGCGCATTTAACCTGTTAACTAGGCCATTAGTCGACCAAAGACGATCCCTATACGTGCAGTTATAAATCTCCACTGTCGAATTATCTCGTCCTGTCGACAGTCAACGAAAACTCTCTCCATTAATTACGAACATCATACAAAATTCAGGACTGCTCTTCTCACATTAACAAACAAACTGCACATCTGCGAAATATTACGATTACCATCGCAGAATTCCTATTTTACCTTCTCAATTACACACGACAAGAATAACAAGAATTATAAATATTATAGTAGCAAAAAATACAACGTCCCAATGCTCAGAATGGACCTCCACGAAGATTTAACTCATCCCATCAGTGTACGAAGTCCTTTTCCGGCGACGTGAAAACTCGTTTTACTCAGTTAACCGGTTAACAATTCGATGGTTCATGATCACGATCGACAGCCTTTTTAATATTCCCTTTTGACGGATTCTGCGGATCGAAGTGAGCGGGTTCCCGAGGCCGGAAGGGTGGAAATACCCGTGGAAAGAAAATAGAAAGAGGGAACACGGTGGGAGGGGGAGGAAAAGGAGGAGGTAGATGGGGAACTTGTGTTCCTCGCGACCCACGTATCTGGGCCGAGAGAGAGAGAGAGAGAGAGAGAGATTTCATCGTTCCGTTCCCGTCCAAACTGGAGCAAGGTCTTCGTCAAGTCACGTTTTCCTAGGGACGACCCGATGAATCGCGGGAACTCCGAACGCTCGTCGATGGGAGGAACGCAAACAAGGGAAGAGAGTCGGGTGATTCCGGGGATTATAGGATCAGTTCCTTGTTGATGCACGAGAATCACGATCAAACACTAGCTTCGTACCGTCATGATTCCATTTTTTTGTTCGTCTTTCTCAAATCGTTTAATTCCTCGGATAGTGGAAAATCAAATTACACACTTCGCTGAATTTGCATCGCGTTCGACGTGCCGTAAATTTCTGCCGTACTTCTGTACACTTCGCTGCATTTGTATCGCGTTTAATGTGTTGTAATATTTTCTTCGTGTTTGTGGAACACTTAACGAAGTACATCGACTATCCTGCGTGGGATGTTTCCACAGTATTAACTCTCTTAGAGCCCAAAATCCGGATAATTATCGCGAATTTAATGTATAAGGTATACACGTGTGATTTTGTTTTCATAATCGTTTAGTAGATTTGGATATGATTTCGTGGATCAGACTGGTCAACTGAAATTACGAATTTATATTAGAATCGAAGGGAAAGCTTTTTTATTTACGAGTAGACTGCAGACTTTATGCATTTATAATCTGTAGGGCTCTGAGGAATACAATTAAAGAAAAAAGTTTTGAAGAATTCTCTATTTTATTCTTAACCCAATAAAATATGATACTTGAAAAGTAAACAAAGTCTGGCTTCTTTATGAATTACTTTAGAAAATATCATTTTGCATCAAAATCCGCAGTCTATTTAAAAGATATTATTCTCTTGAAGAATCGAATGTGCTCCATAGTGTTTAAAGTACGGTACACATTAACATGTCCAGAATTATACAAAATAATATTCAATTGGAATAATTTCTGAAAAATCAAGACCCTAATTCAATTTCGTTCGAAACTTAACTTCTCTACAATTATCTCGAACATTCACAATTTTCTACAATTACATTCAGGTTTCTATCGTTCGTTCGTCGCTTTAATTGATAGCTTTTTTTCTCGAACTTCTCCACGTCACATCTTCGCGTTTCGAGAACGACGTATCGAGCAGAAATTTCGAAACTTTCCTCGTAAGAGCAGAATCGTTCGCCCTCCGTTTCGATCGATCCACCTGTCCATACATCCTGGTAGGCGGGGAGAGTTAGGTGGCGGAGTTTTCCTTCGTCGATGTCGACGGGGAACTTTCAATTACGATTCTTATTAATTAAAACAAGCTGCCGGCGGTGTTGTTTACAGACGGCATTGGCGCGTGAACATCGTCGTGATTGTTCAACCGTTATTTCCCGGGGAAATAATATCCGGTGAACTATTAACGACGCGACGAGAAGGAAAAAGCGAGAGAAAAGGAGCACCTCTGAATGTAACGTCTAGAGAATATCTCGTGAGAGTACGAACATCGTAGTAACGTATTTCATTAACGACAAACTTTTATCCACCGTTCACAGTGGTGGTCGTAAAAGAAGTTTTAAAGGTGGAACGTGCTAACGACACTAAGTACATTTTATAACAGAGAAAAAGTAGATTCTGCGGTGATAGTCAATCTGTCGTGAAGACAAATATCAGCAGAGAAAATTAAGTGTAAGTTATTGTTATATTTTCTGGTACAAAGTAACAACGTAATGTAAGTTACGCCATTTTTATACAGTTCTAAGCAGAAAGTACACGAATTCCCGGGCATTTTCCCCGGGAAAACGCAATATCCACGGAAGAAAAGTGTATTACCAGCGGTCCCTGGAACGTAGAAAGGAAAATTATTACTCCTTCAGGTTCAAGGATTTATCCGCGGGTCAAGGGAGGAGGTTGCGTCTAGAACGAAGCTGTCTCGGACCTCGAATCGTACGACTTATTTGAAAAAAATAACGAGGACCGTCTGTATGACCGTCTGTAATGAGTTCAGTGAAACGCTATCCAATGAAACCCCAGGATTCGACAAATGAAATTGTCAAAACATTCGTTCGCTTGATCCCTAACAAATCTGAGGACTGAAACTTTCGAAGAATAATTTTAACTGTCACGCACAGTAAGAATTTGTAATTGAAGTATAGTAGACTTTTTTGTTCGTTAATATGGTAGGGCAGTTAGAGGTCTCTTAGGAATTAAATTAGAAGTTCAGCTAAGATTAGTTTAGGCCTCTTAGAAGTTAAGTTAGAGGATAAATTAAAGTCACTTAGAGGTCTCTTAGAAGATATGTTAAAGTTAGTTAGAGGCTTTCAAGAAGTTCAGTAAGAAGTTAAGTTCAGGTCAGAGGTCTCTTAGAAGTTAAGTTAACAGTCAAGTGAAGGCTTCTTAGAAGTTCAGTTAGAAGTTAAGTAAAGGTCAATTAGAGATCTCTTAGAAGTCAAGTTATAAATTAATTAAGATCAGTTAGAGGTCTCCTAAAACTTAACTATCTATGAAATATGACAAATAATGATCTTTTCACAATCAAGAACCATCGCGTTAAAAGATTATCTTTGAAAAAGAAAAAGAAACAAAGCAAAGGAAAGGATCGAATCGACGAACGCAACAAGTGTTCGAAATAGATCCGATTCTTTTAAGTACCCTCTGGAATAGGGGTTGGAAGCTACCTTCGCGTGATTCGTTTCCCACTGTCACCGTGGATATTCGATTTCAGTGGGTCGGCTTACGAGGGCCAGTGGCAGAATGGGAAGCGGCACGGTCTGGGCATGGAAACCCGTGGACGATGGATTTACCGCGGGGAATGGACACAGGGTTTCAAAGGTCGCTACGGTGTCAGACTATCGACAACGTCCACTGCGAGGTACGAGGGCACGTGGGCGAGCGGTCTTCAGGATGGCTACGGCTCGGAGACGTACGCCGACAGTGGTGAGTCTTGCTTTTTAAATATTTACGAATATCGTCCCTTCGCGTTTGTTCGCTGCCCTTAACACTTTTCATGCTAGATCCATTAGTACCAGCAGAAAAGTTGGTTGCTCTACTTTATGTCAAAAGGTTAATTTGCTTGTTTACCTTGGGGATTAATCCTCTTTATAAGAAACATTTAACCCTTGTACAGTGATTGCAGGGTCATTTTGACCCATCTGTAGCTATTGCTATATTTTTTACAATTATATGTAAATGTAGTATATGAACTTGAAGATGTACATCAAATTTTGTGCATAATTCCCTCTTCAAACTTATGTACAATCGAAATTCTATCGTGGGTCAAAATGACCTTGCATTCGTCTGCCATGTCTGTCCCCGACCATCCGCCTTCCGAGGATTAATCAATCTACATGAATATCTTCAAACGATAGAGAGGAAACAGATAGGGATATTGATATGATTTACCAATCGAGTAACAGAATATTTTTTGAAAGATTAAACAGTTATACAGCTCCATTCGCGAGACCAAAGACAGTAAATACAAACAGAAGGATTACCCTTGAAAAAAACTGGAATCGTCTTCCTATAGAATACTTACATAGTAGTCGTAAAACCGTACGTCGAGAAATCGACGCTTGTTTGAACAATAGCTTCTGTGTCTGACCAGATACGGACACAATCTCCTGCGGGCCGAGAGAGGAACGGGCTCGAAGACAATACGATAAAACTGCGAAATAATACAAACCTGTTCAAGGATGTAATAGCTCGAGTTGGCATGCAATTTCATGTGGGAGGGATAAAGCTGTCAGGAGCAGATTGAACGATACGGGGTATCCTGATCGTCGACGCGACTCGCAGAAATCTGTGTCAACGACAAGTGACAGGACACGCGTGTGTATGCGCGTCCCTGACGCTTTCGCTCGGATTTCATCTCGACGCGAATTAATCGACTCGATTCACACGGTGCCTCGGACAACCTTTGATCCAGTCCTCTTCGCCACGCTCGATATTACGGTTTTGTTATTTTTCTTTTGCGTTTAATTCGCGGTTATTAATACGCTGTTTTAATTACCGGCCCGTCTACGAGCGCCGCGGTCCCCTTTTTCGGCGTGAAATCGGGAACGTTGCCAATTTGGCCGAGCGCTCCGACCCCGACTACGTCTCCGCGACGTTCTGTTTCGTTAAATTAATGATTAATAAACGGGACCGATTGAACTTCCTGGTGTATTCTTTCAACCGTGCAATATCATTTACGTCGGCAGTGTTGGTATGAAAATCTTCGATGATCTACAGATTTTCATTGATCACTTTGACTGCCTCGTCAACTAAATATGGGTGACATGTTAATTACGAAGTGGCTGCATTATTTAAATACCGTCAGAAAATTTTCATGTAAAATTAATATCGCCGTTTAATATAAAATAAGACCAATAGCATCTATTAACTAAACGCATACATTTTCGATGGTTTATGACTTAAGAAACGAAATAAAGTGTGTCTGACTACGAACGGCATTTTTCACTGTGACAGTCAACGTGTTAAAGAATATCAATACATCGCATTATCGAGAGTAACCGTGACGCAACATCTTCCAATGGAGGGTTAAATCAGAAAGGCTCGAACAACAATTTCTACTTCGTTTCTCGTATTCATCCCCCCTATTACATTAGACCACGGTCCATAGAAGTTTGTTCACAGAAAATCAATCACACCGACACATTCGTCTTGCAGGGGTTTCTTTTTAGTCGTCCGTGCCCGGTTTTTCGGTCACGAAAGCGGCGACAGATCGGTACGATTTATTTTTTCTGGAGTCGTCGGCCGTTCGTCGCTGTGAAACGCGTGAAATCGAGGTCGTCCGCGGGACTTTCGAAACGTTACAACCGCCGACCGCTCGGAAAATAGTTCGAGGGTGAGTCACCACGATTTTATCGTGGTCGAGTCTAAAAGTTGCTTTACGAGTCCCGACCGCACGGGTACAACGTTCCTTTGCATTTTCATGGATCGGAGAAACGCCCGCCCCGGGCCGAGAATTATGAATATTAAATAACGACGCGGCGGAACGGGAACACGAACACGCATTTCGAATCCTGGCGCCCTTTCTTCTCGCGTTTTCCTCCCCTTCATTCTCTTGGAGAACGTTGAACGATGTTTCTGATATAGGGGACAGATATTGATTCTACAGAAATCAGTGGAGAAGAGTCGTATTACCCCTTTTACGATCGCGATACGTACGAAATAAGATACGATAATAAGAATCTTGTTTCGAAGGTGATTCCATCCGACACGACTGTGTTAACCTTCATTCAAATTGCCACAGTGGTAAATAATTAATATAATGAAGAGATACATAGATAAAATTTGCACATTCTTTAAAATAAAAATCACGGAACTTCAGCTAAATTTACCTATACCGGACAGAATAACATCATTTCTTTGGCGAAAGATGTGTCGAATTGACACAAGGAACGGATGAGGTTTAAAGTGTGTTACCTGTTTATTAAAGAAACGGTGTATTACTTGTTATTACTGGATCTATGAGACACAAATTACAAATTCTTATCCAGCTAATATTTATCTCGAATAGCAATAGTTGTGTCGTAAATGCCGGAGGTAATACAATCTAGCATTTTACCTGCAAATAGAACTCCATTTCTCAGTCTTGGAATCCGTTTTGGTAAATCGTCGTCCCCGACGCGTTCGAGAGGAATGGAAAACTCTGAACTATCAGGACATGGAGATGGTTTCGATCTTCCAAAGATTTACCTATTCTAGAAATTCCAGAGAAAAGCGTTTTACCTGATCGACGTTTAGTTTTCCTGTTTTTTTTTCACGTTCTGGACGTACGAGGTCTCTGTTTTTCTTGTTTGATTCGAGCAACAGTTACGCGTGCTGCCACCTACCCCTATCGTCTGGCCTTTGACCCTCGCCGCGAGGAGGATCGCCAACGGGAAATGAACGAGCAAATTGCAATTGATCGGATTTTCTGTCCCAAATACACCGTTCGATCAGTCCACGTGCTTTTTTCGTTTGATCGCCCTTCCATGGTCCTTCGATTCATCTGGCCATGACGGAAATTTTCTCAACTGGACTCGAAAAGCGAGATGTTCGACGAGATTTCGGGGGATGAAGATAAAACTCACTGAACCAACATTATCATACCAGACTGTGTCGTTGTGAAATAAAATGGGATTACGGACAAAAGAAATTCAAATTAATATTAAGACGATATAGATTAACATTAAAGGATATTCCTGTACGATTCCATTAGAAGTATCAACATGTTGTTTAAAAATAATGGTAATTTTGTTAAAATTCAAAGAATGTATTTCTTGACGATTCAATTGGAAGAATCGATGTGTTTTTTTAAGAATATCGGTAATTTCATTAAGACATGGAAGAGTAAATGAAAATGTGATATACAAATGTGGTTTTACAAAAGAGATTTTTCAGTGTTGCGTGTTTAAAAATACCGGATGTCGTCGGAATGTCTAACTCGCAGGTCAGAATGAAATTGCTCTGGTAATTAAGCCGTTGGTCTACTGCTTCCCGATTGATCGATAATGGCACAACCCTATCGCGAAGCCATTGTCCGCGGACTATTGTCGTGAGATTACATGGGCAGATAATCATGCGACGGTATAAAAGCGAAAAGTAAAACTTGGAATACTCTTCGCTCAATCTTGCCGAGTCATGGAAATTTCCACGGAGAAGTTAGACTTAGAGTATCGGGGAAATATTATTGTCGCAAATGGTTTGAGTCCAAGTTGTCAGGCATCCCTCCCGGAAGTAACAGTCATCAATATGACGAATCCAGAAATATCCACGAAAGAAGCGGAGAAAGAATAACGAAATATACAGCGATAAATTGGACCGATCAATTTATCGATTCTGCGACCCGACTGCCGAACAGACGCTCTTGCTCCTTCAAGAATACACGCCATTTCGTTTCGCAACACTCAACGGGACTGAGATTCCAGCTGAGTATGAAAAGAAATTCTAGTCTTATGGTTCCGAACAATTTCTGAGCAATCGAAGGAACACTTTCATCGAACTAAAGCATCGAGGAAATTCGAAAGATGACGAAAACCACGAGAATATTTGAAAGAAGGGGTTGGAGGAAATCGAGTGCACATCATTTTACTTCTGACAGCATCGTGATGGATGCATCAGTTGATTTTCAGTAGATAAATTCTGCCTGCGACTGTGACTTGAGGAAATGAAACCAATGTCTAACACCAGAAAGGAAAGAAGAACAAGAGGACACAAAAAATATCTACACGAAATCGCAAAAAAAGGGAAGAAAAATATTGAAACAGAAATAGAAAAAAAAAAGCGAAAATACACCAGGCATCGTTTTCGTTTTCGATACACCTATATTCAAAGGGACCTTGTGTGTTGAAACATGAAAAGTAAAAAAATCCCATATCGATGAAAGAAAATGAAGAAGAAGACCAAGGGAGTGGAATGCAAAGGAACGACGAAGAATATAACTACTCGAAAGAAGGGCAAGGAGAGACAAAAGGGAGGGCGTCGGGGGGTAGAGAGGGAGAGCGGTGCAGATAAGTTTTATTGCGTTTCATCTCGCCTGGTGCACTTGAGCGCTTTATTTAGAGCCGTTGGAGCCAGCTGCCCGCGTTTTCTGATCTCTCCGGGCGCCCCGTGTCAAGGAAGAAACGTGCCCGATGATGTATGGCTCGACCGTAAAATCGTTACTTAAGGAATGGCTAACCAGTCACCGATAATTCCTGCTCAGGGACGAGCCAGCTATCGTATGGAACCCCTACAGTTCCCTGATTCTTTTCGTTCCACTCGGTAAAAACAATAAAATTCTCATCCATGTATTAATCGCAAAAGGAATTTTCCTCGATGGACTTCGAACTTGGAAACTTTCATGAAATGGGCCTGTCGCGATTTAACGCAAATAGGAAACCATCGAAACAGGGCCATTTCTTCAAATTTAGCAAATTATTATTATAAACGAGGATTCTTGGACAACTCTG